GGGGGGGGGGGGGGTTGCCGTCACCACTAGTCAGAGGTAACCTCAGTGACGTCCCGGGACGTGGAAAGTCAAGGTTGGGTGCAGGGACAGCACATGGACTCAGAGCTGCTTCAGTGTCTCCAAAACCTGACGTTCTTCTGTGACCCGGGAAGGAAATTTCTGAAACACGTTTATAAAGGGAAGAGAAGGAAAAAGTAGCTGTGCTTTCCTACTTAGAGAAATGCAAAGAAAGGAAATTATCTCTAAAAAAGAAACAGCCCTGTGAGGGGATGGTACCTCTCTGTCCTCATGTACAGTGGGGGGTGTTGAGACTGAAAGATTTTAGGAACCCCTAACGTTCCAGGGAGGGGAGGCCCGGTGTTGGGCTCAGGCTGGGAGAGGGCGTCTCGGTCCAGGTCCTTCAATATTGCACTGTCTGTAGTTCACCCACATGCTCAGAATAGTTCCTTATTTGGAATTCCAAAAATAGCAAACCAGCTCATTATGATTGTTACCAGAAAGTTTCGACAATTACCCTTATTTAGCAGACGAGCCAATCAACCAAACAAAGCCACCAGTAGGGCCGGGGTGGGAGGGGAAGGGAGACGGAGCGAGGGCTCCTGCCTGCGCTCCGCTGGCCCCGCTGCCGGGGGCGCGAGGTGTACTTACGGGACTTCTTGGTCGTGACGTTGACCGGGGGGCTGGAGGGCCCCGTCCCGCCGGTGTTGTAGGCTCTGACGGAGGCAAAGTAGACGGTGTTGGCCCTCAGCCCTGTGATGGTCTTGGCGGTGACGTTTCCGCGGACTCTGATCTTACCGATCACGGGTTCCCTGGGGTCGTCCGTCCAGTACAAGACCTGGTCACGGAGACAGAGCGAGCCGTCAAGGTTCCCCTGCCACCAGCAAACCACAGCAGGTAGGTGGCAGGTGGAGCATAAATGGCAGGATAGCTTCTGATTACATGGGTCATACAATAGCAGCAAACTACAGTCTAATCTTTCTAGGGAACAAATAAAAAATAGAACTGTGCAATGGAAATGAGAGAACCTGGGTGTTCTCAATTACCAAAACAAAATACTCATGCGATATCCAAAGGTTATCAGCTTAAAGAAAGCATATATAATAGCTCAGACCAGAACAAAATTCACACCACCAGTCAGACTTCTGGCACGATGTTTTGCTATGGACATTTTCTCCGGAGTCTTTGAATGATGGGTTAATCAATAACTCAGCTAATATTGAGCCTTCCCTATGAATTAGTGGGTTTCAGGCACCTTGAAAACAACCAGAGAGAACAAAGCATGTAGCTGCCGTCCAGCCCCTTACAATCTAGTTGCAAGGCTGGAACATACGTGAGAGGAGCGCAGAGGACGGGTTTCCGGGAGGTGATAGAGAAAACGGTGCCTAAGACTGTGAAGAGAAGACGTCGCGATGGGAGAGCTGCCCAGGGGAGGGAGGCCAGGACGGGCCGAGGGGGGAGCAGGGCTCAGCTGCGAGCTGAGGCATCAGGGGGGCAGAGGCCCCTGTCACACGAGCACAACTTTATGTTTGGACCAGAGAGTTCATGTGAAAAGAAAACAAGAAGTGTGGGAGGCAGAATTAAGGGGGGGCTGGAACTGTACTTCGATTCTAACTCCAAAGCAAAGTCATCTGTTACCAGGAATACGTCCCATCTCTTTGTGGAAATGAAGGCCCGTGAGCACGAAGGGATGTGCCTCACGCAACATGGGCCATATTTACAAACGGCAGGTTTAGGATTTTCCTTCTCACTTCACTGCCATTTCCAAGGTGATCTTTCCAGGCCGTGCTCCGGCTCACAGAGCAGGTGTCCCAGGGAAATCCGTCTAAGGTCTAAGGTCAGGGAGGATCCGATGTTCACCTCTCCCCAAGTAACAAACAGGACTGCAGTTTCCATAAATAAACAAGATACTCTCTCATCACTTTTTAAATGCTACCCTTTGCTGATTTGATCGCAGCCGCTGGCCCCCATCTGTGGTTTTGGACACACACACTTGTTACTGAGCAGCGGGACTGGCAGGTGCCGAGGGGAATGACCTCTCCTGGCTCACCTCGTAGCCCAGCACGCGCCCGGTGTTTCTGTTCCAGGCGATGGCCATCCACGAAACCTCCATTTCCGAGGCAGAGAAGCTCTGGACAGAGGTTCCTCTTGGGGCCAGCTGAGGCTCTGCCATCCAGAGAAAGACACAACCAGCATTAGTAGGGGGTTCGTGGAACATGGACTCAGAACACGCCCATGGTCTGGGGGACCATCCGCTGCTGACCGCAACCTACCGTCTTCCCCCGAGTAGAGGATGGACACGGTGCTCAGGGCCCCCTCCCCTTCGCTGTTGTACACGCCCACTTTGACTTCGAAGGGGGAGAGGGGGGTGACGCTCTCGTTTCTGTACACGAACCGTGAGGACTCCACCCAGGGGACTCTCTCCTGGATCCAGGCGGTGGAGCCCACGGGCCTCAGCATGACCACGTAGCCGAATTCGCCTCCGTTCTGCAGTTCTTCTGGGACGGGCTGGGGTGGAGCAACCAACACGGTGTGTTTACAGGATGAGTTACAGAGCTATTGTCATGTTTATCCAACACAGACAGCCGTCCTGTTTAATAAGCAGCGAAAACTAATAATACTCCTGTTTCAAATGCCAATTCGGAAAATGGTCCCAATTGAAGATGCTCAGATCACTAAATAAGAATTTTAAATAGTAATGGAAAACAGGTTTTATATGTTTATATGCCCCTCCAAGATTATTCATAAATTATAATAAAATGACTTAGAAGATTGCAAGATTTTATAAGTTAAAAAATTTTATATTCATATTAATGAATTTAGAGTGAATCTGGAAAACCAGTGGATCTGACTCTGTCCACAACAGCAGGGCCTTAGGCCAGAATTGGTCTCTCTCCCAAAGTTCTTCAAAACGCAGCTCAGACGTGTCCTGATGGGGCCGTTTCTGACCTTCCTCCAGGCCGGGTTAGGGCCGTCCTGCCTGTTGGCCCCTGAGCACCGGGACCTTTTTAAAATTCACTTTTTGTACCCCTAGTGCTTGAGCAGAGCTAGTGTTGACTGACCCGAGTTACTATGTGCCTTCTGTGGCTCAAATTCACGTAGGCACCTCTCCCTAAATCCACAGATTCCTGCCCTGGCCTGTGCTGCTCAGGGCTTAGAGCATCTGTCTGCCGCGCACACTGGAGGGTCGTGGGTTTGATTTCCAGTCAAGGGCATGTACCTGGGTTGCAGGTTCCATCCCCAGCCCTGGTTGGGGTGTGTGCCGGAGGCAACTAGTTGATCTCTCTCTCTCTCTCCACCCCCTCTTCCCTCCCACTCTCTCTAAAAATCAATGGAAAAATATCCTTCGGTAAGAATTAACAAAAAAAATAATAAATTCACAGATTCCTTAACACCCCGGCACCAGCAGCATCGGGCTCTGTGTGTGTGGACGTGAGGCCAGAGTGAATGCTGAGTGGGAAGCGACATTCACGAATCTGTGAATGGAGCTTCTGCAAGATTCTGCATATCTGATGTTCCCAGAAAAACACACACAGAGGAAATGACTTTAATTTTATAGCAAGCTTTTCCTGCAAAGGGCCAAGTAGTAAATATTTTAAGCACCGGGGGCCATACGGTCTCCGGCGAGAGTGTGAGGGAGTCATACATAACGCGTGCGAGAGTGGGCGTGGAGGTGGGTGAATTCGGTCATGAAAACGGAGCAGCCGGGTTCGGCCTGTGTGCCGTGGTCTGTGGGGTCTTGCTTTAAAGAAAAGGGCACAGTAAGCCATGGAAAGACGTCACTGTTTTGGTAATTCACTTCACCTCTATGTGAGAATGACTGGCGTGGTATTCCCCACCCACCTGCAGACCGAGTAAAACCATCGCCACCGACCTTCAGTAAAGTCTGCGCCCGGGGCACAGAGTGCGGTGGGCCGGCCGCGCCCTGCTCGCTCTGAGAAGCCGCCTCAGCCTCGGAGGAACCGGAGCCTGGACCAGCCCCTCACCGCCCACAGAAGCAGCCCCTCTGCCGCTTCACTCCCGACTCACGCTTTGTGGGCAGCGTGTTGGCAGAACCAGCGTATCTGATGAGCTTACTACCTGAGGCGGGTCCACAGGACCCGCCCCACCTGAACCAAGACATCGCCCGGGACCCGGGACGGCTGGAATCTACTTTAGGAGGAAGTGAGGAGCCAGGGTGAGGCCTGTGTTCAGAGGCTGCTCGGCCCACCGACAGCACATCTCCAGGCCCCGGGTTTCGGATCAGGAAGTGACGTCACCGACCCCTGACCTCGCTGTGAGGCCTGAAGGAGCGCCCAGCGCAGCTCCCGACGCCGGCACCTGCTCCAGGGGGCGCCTCTGAGACCCCGTCTCCCAGTCATTGTCCACCCCCCAAAAAGTCAAACAAATCCAAACCACCCTGAGATATACCAGTCAACAGATACCAGCACCAAGGTCCCATTACAAGTGCACCTGCAATCAGACGTGGTTGGTCTCTCTTCTCCCCACCCCACGCCGACACCCCTGGAGACGCTGGGGGTCACCTGGTGGACGGAGGGAGAAACTGAGGGGCAAACCCAGGAAAGGCAGAGCTCCGGCTCTGCGTCCCTGTCACAGTGAGAGGTCCGGGCCTGGGAGGCCTGAGCGGCTACAGTGAGGAACTTCAGGGGGTAGAAGGCCTAAAGTTTATAACAATAAGCCCGGCTGAGTTTTTAATAAATACAAATAGGTTAATACTTTAAAATAACGACATAAAAGCTATTCTGTCTGCTACGCTTTCATCTAGTCGGATGGGAACGCCGGGCCTGAGAAATCACCTGGTCTGGCCCTGCCAAGGCAACTGCAGGCGGGAGTCGAAATTCAATAAATCTAGGAGCTTTTTTTATAGCTAATTTTTAAGTCGATCATTTTGTATGGCCCACAAATTATGTTAGAAATCTCCAAATGGCCCTTGGCAGAAAAAAGGTCCTCCAGCCCTGATAGATGCAGGAGGACCAGGCTGGAAGGGTGTAGAGAGCAAGGAGAGGAAAACAGCTGATTCCCACCCGCACTCTCTGCATCTAACTCAGAAGGAGAGTCCCTGAGGCCCGTGCAGTTCACCAAACGAGGGTGGAAACGCTCCGGGCCCCTCCGCGCACAGTCAGGTGGTTTTCCTTGCGTTTGGACGAGCACTGCGCTCCCTCTGTGGGCTCTCTCACCCCAGGAGGGCCGAGAAACGCTCCCAGACCCTCCCCGTCCCAGCTCCCTCAGGAGCCTTCCCTGCCATGTATTTTTATGCACCCAACTTGTTTTTCAGTTTTCTTCCTGGCCAGCTACATCTTCTTCCTTCAAAACAACTCAGTTGAACAGAAAATTACCTCCCACGTAACGACGAGCTCCGAGCGGCTTCCCCCGCCTCCCTGGATGTTGGTTGGAGCCACGACGGGGACTGAAAAGCAACCAGAGAAACGCGGCCACGGTTAGGACGGCGCGTCTCCATCGGGGCCTTCGCCTGTGGGTGTCACCCCCAGGAGCCCCGCAGCAGCTGAGAGGGAGCCCGGCACCGTTAATGAACACAAACGATGTTTACCCAGACCCGGATTCCTGAGCGAGGACGGCCTCCTGTCTGATACATGAGCACCCGACTCCAGAATTAATTAAAAGCCCAGCAACATCGTGTATCTGACATTATTATGTATCATCTGCTAATTGGCAGAACACTGTTCCGTTCAGGGGGTGAGAGTGACACCGTGATTTAGCGCCTGATTATACAGCTGTGCTGGGAACACGTTTCCCAGCCAGATATTAATTAATTCCCTTCTTCTTAGTAAACAAACTAAAATAACTTTTTTCTTTTGGGTCGTCATCAGGATGTTTGAACATTTAAAAATAAATTCTTAAATGATACATAATTAAATAAATTCCTGTTTTGTAACCATGTTTGAGTCGCAGATCTCTCAGCAAAGAACAGATGGATGTCTCCTCTAACTTTTCACCCCCAAAATGTGATGGAGGGGAGTCTGCTTTACCCCAGCTCTCTAAGGCTCTGGGGTAGATTTTCCAGACATGGATCATTTCTATGAATTAGAAAAATACAGGGTGTTTCCCCCAAAATATTCACACACTTTCACAGCTGATAACTCACTTAACTTTCACTCCTCTTCAGGTTACCTGATTTGAAATAGTGGGTGAAGCCAGACTAACCTTTGAACAAAGAAAATTTATCCTGAGGTGCCACTAGACTTTTTTTTTATGGGGACACATAAAAGATGGAGTTTATGATACAAAATCAGCAATAGTTGGCGCATTGAGGGCGCACAAATACCGCACGAAATGATCCCTGATGTTGGCAATTCCATTGCTTCGCGTTATCAGCAGGGCCTGGACCAGGACGGTCACCAGTTTGGAAAGTGGCGNCATTGCTTCGCGTTATCAGCAGGGCCTGGACCAGGACGGTCACCAGTTTGAAAACAGGCCNTTATCAGCAGGGCCTGGACCAGGACGGTCACCAGTTTGGAAAGTGGCGTTGACAAAAAAATTACTCATTTCTGTAGATTCTTTTAAATTTTGAAAATGAGCTGTGTGTTAATGAGCTCTGACTTTATGATCATTCAGTGTGTACGCGTTTGGGGACGCCCTGTGTGCCCTTCACTGTGGGTGCGAGCGCTCTAGTGCGCAGCGCACTGGAGTTTGACTTTAAACATGTAAAAGTCCTCTTTTCCCTGAAATAATGACAGAAGGACCCCACATCTGTGGTGATGGAAATATCTGCTGGATAAGCTTTAAAACGTTGAGTTCTGTGCAGGTTTCTGTGTCTGATCTCTTCTGCTCACTACCCAGAGGTGGGCAGAGTGCCTGGTAAATGAAATCCTGAGGCCTAACTGCTCATTTCAAAGTTTCCTCCCACCGTCGGGACCCAGAGATGCATCTGGGCTGGTTATTTTATTTACTCCCGTTTCGTAGGGATGTTTAATTTATTAATGACCGTTATGTACTAATCCGACTGTTCTTTAATAATGGCCCCTGTCAGACATTGTCCATTTTCATGTTCAAACTGACCCGCAGGTTGTCTGCCTTGATGTCCCTAATTTATTTAGAGATTGGCTCCTGCCTCCGCGCCCACCTAGACCTACGTCTCCCAGCGCCTTTGGCCAGAAGCATCATGAGTCAGTGGGGTCCTGTGCTTGCACGTTTCTGGTCCCCAACTGCTCATGGTGACATTACTACAGGACCAGTAAATAGCTTTACATACTTATGGAAACTATTTAAAATGATGCTGTAATTTACAAAGTTTTCAATATTCTGGGGAATAGAGTTCCTTTCTTTATTCAATTTTCACATGACCTATACTAAACCTAAAACCATACTGAAAATTGTCTTTGATGATGCAAAACAGAAACACACAGGTCCCTACGATTTGGAGCCTCGGGGAGATCCTTGTGGACACTAAGGCTCCTCCTGCCACTCAGGTGGTTGACGGAAGGTGACATGGAAACTCTGCTGTAAAAACTTCAGAGCCAGCCTCACCCAAAGCTACCGTAGCATCAGTCAGCCGGAAACACCTAGAACTAAAGCTAACGCCCCCGTGAACTGCAGTCGGCCGATCGGTCTGGGGGCCCCCCTGGAATGTCTGTGTTTGCACATTTCCTGTGCCAGTCCCTTGCTCATGCAGGCGAAGGCCACCTGATGTGGACCACGCTTGAGCCCAAATCCAGGGGCCTTGGTTCAAAGCCTGACTCTGTCCTAAACAGGCATAACACCTGGTTTTCCTTCCCGCCTCCATGAAACGAAGGTCTCCCCTCAGCTCTGAACCTCCAGGATGATTTAACTCACAATCTCACTGTCATCTGGGCTGTTTTGCAGCCCCGATCTTATGATAAAAACACTAACGCTATCTTTAGTTTAAACGACTAGTTACTGGCCTCCGACAGCTGCGCACACGTTCCTGAACTAGTTTGTGCTTGTAACCGAAGCAACGACAGAGTGACCCTCGATCACGTGGCGGAATGAGTGGGCCGCCTCTGTTAGCTTCCCGCGGGGAGGGGACCCAGGGTGACCGGCGTGGGGCGTAAGAGTGGGACCCAGTCGGAGGGCTTTGAAGGGACAGGTCTCACTTGGTCTGCACCTCCTGACCCGCTCGGTGCTCTGTCAGTGCTTTGGCTAAATGAGCCTAGGACTCCCCTCATCTCAGTGACACTGCAGCCCGGCCAGAGCTGGGAGCTGGCCGCCCGACAGTCTCCATCCGTCCTCGGCTGCGACATGTCGCGAAACAAGCGGAAGCTCATCTGCATCTACGACTCTGCAGATTCTCTGTTGGCTCTGAAAGTAGCGGAGATGAGAAGACAGCTTCCGAGAAACTCTTCCTACCTGTGTGCGTCACCAAACCCTCTCTCACTGAGAAAATCTTCTTGCGTCGTGCACCTAACAGCTAACAGCATGGGCGTGAGAGTGGTTTTCTGTCTCGGGTGGGGCAGGATGCTACAGGACATGCTGCTGTTTTCTGTAAGAACGGTGCTGTCCACAGTCTCCCGGCTTCTGGGGAGCCACGGATTTCTTACCTGAAGCTTTGGTTCTCAGCAGTTCTGATGGTTTACTCGGCTCCCCGATCCCAATGCTGTTTCCAGCCAGGACGCGGAACTCGTACTCCACCCAGGGACTCAGACCCACCACGGTCGCGTTGTATGTCTGACCATTGAGAATTTCTGGAACTAAAGAGAAGGGCACACCAGGTAAAAACAACCAATCCCTCAAGCAAACAACACAACATTTGTTCTACCAAATTATCCAAAACCCGTGAGTCCCTTACCGGTGGGAACAGCCTGCCAGCCCACGGAGAACGGTGTCCGAGCCTGGACGGTGAATATTTGAATGGGGCTGTTACTGTCGGGCCCTGGCCGCCAGCTGAGGTGAGAAGTGGTGCTGGAAATGTGGTCCACTCGGACGTCCTCGGGGGGACCTGGGGGGCCTTCAAAATAGGTTTCCTGATGACTGTATTGGAAATGATTAAATCTATGGATTTGGGACATGGGTAGTTTATTTTCTTTTTCTGTTCTGCTTAGAAAATAAAATGTCGAACATAATATACTGTAGCACATTACTTGAGATAAAGTCCTATTAATTCCGCTTACGTGGTGAGAGATTAGCCTAGAAATGCTTCCTTTGAAGATTAGGAAACGCCAGCCACGGGATGGTTGAGCGTCATCTGATAAGCAGCTAATCTCAAAGACTGAGAGCCGAGCCCGTCCGCCCCTCTCAAAAGCTGACTCAGGCGAACGCGGCGGGCGTGGGGAGGTGCCGGAGCGCAGACCACCCCCTCTGCTCTGCGCGGGCCGCTTAGTATAAAGGGAGGGCAGGCCCGGGTCTGAGGGACCCACGGTGCTGGCTGAGCCTGCGCCTTCCCTAGACGCAGACAGACGTGCTCATTCACTCTCCACATCCACGCCACCCAGACCCTGGGGACCTGGAATTTAGAAAATTAAAATAATCGCACTTCTGATCATGATGCGGTTACTCCGGGGAGGATCTGCCATTTACTGAGGAACGTTTTTGGCGGAGGGTAAACCATGCACTCATGTGCGTCCGCGGCTTACCTCTGACAAGGATTTCGGCGACGGCAGACAGGCTCTCGAGGGCGGTTTGTACCCTGCACAGGTATTTCCCGGAGTGAGTTAGCTGAATGTCCCTTATCATCAAATCCCCCACGGAGCCCTGCAGACAGAACGGGGAAGGGGTAACAGCATCCGTAGGCCCTCGGGCCCCGGGTTTCACAGCTGCGTAAACGTCAGACACGCGGCGGCGAAGTCAGGAGACCGGCCGGCACCACTGTCGTTTCTCACGTCTGGACCCTTCACTGCCCCTTCGTTATAACTGGCTCTGAGCACAGGCTCGTCCGTGAAAGACACCGAGCAAAATAAAACGAAACAGACGCAGCTCCCTAGACAGACAGCGGTCACCACCAAAGACATACAGGGCAGNCAGCATCCGTAGGCCCTCGGGCCCCGGGTTTCACAGCTGCGTAAACGTCAGACACGCGGCGGCGAAGTCAGGAGACCGGCCGGCACCACTGTCGTTTCTCACGTCTGGACCCTTCACTGCCCCTTCGTTATAACTGGCTCTGAGCACAGGCTCGTCCGTGAAAGACACCGAGCAAAATAAAACGAAACAGACGCAGCTCCCTAGACAGACAGCGGTCACCACCAAAGACACACGGGGCAATCGTGACCGGAGACGTTGATTCACGCACGTCAGAGGCTCGGTTCAGCTTACTGAGCACCTAACCCTTCCAGCAACTTACTCCTCCGATCCTTTCGAAATGCGCCGCGCCCTTTTCTAGGTCTAGGGTGTGTCCGTCGACAGACCAGAGGAATTCGACCTCCACGGAGGGGTCGTGAGACACCTGGCAGGACAGGACTATGCTCTCGCCCACGGTGACGTCCATGGGGGAAGGCGGGACCGTGATCACCGTCCGCTCTGCGGAGAGAGAGCAGCATCGTTATAGAAGCTTATCAGACCCCAGCCCAGGCCGCGAAACGCACGCTCGGAGTCGGTTTGCCATCGTCTGGAATTTCACACGTGCAACGTGGAGTTCCCGGTACATTCAAGGTGAAAAGGCCACTCCCCGCTTTCAGATGTTTCTGCAGTAATCTGTTTACCTTATTACTTGTAATAAAACTGAACAGTTTTACTCCTAGTTCATATGAAACTGGTTTATTTAAAAAGCTGTGGACTTCTAAAGACAGCACGCCATACGGGAGGAGGCGCCACGCATTTCCCCTGAAATCCCAGCCACCGCGCTCCAGTCGCCCAGTGGCCCTGAGGGGTCTGTGGCGATCGCCTGCCCAGGCCACAGGCCCTGCCCGTGGGACCGTGACTGCAGTCGTTTATAGAGACGTGTGGGCATTGGTTTTCATGGGCGAGTGTGAACACGACACATTCTACTTCTGATGCAGCTGTGATGACGATTTCCCATTTTCGCTGAAGATGCAACGTGAAAATGTTTCCCTTTGTATCCAGATTTCACAGTGTGAGAACCATCTCCCGTAAAAACCTCCCCCAGAGACGTCAGCCGCAGCGTCAGCACCTGCTCCCCAGGTGCCCGCAAAGTGTCAAAGGACGAGTCCAGGTGTCCCGGCCGGGCTCAGCGTCCTGCCACGGCTGATTGAGAGACTCAGGGAGACAGATCGTCTCTGACCGCAAGGGTTCGCCCACGGCCACGGCCACTCCAGCCAGAACTCATGGGCAGCGGCCCAGACAAGGCCACACTCGCGGGAACGGGAGAGGGGCCCGGGCGGCAGAAACACACGCTCTTTGATGATGCAGATTTGGACGTGAGTTGGTGACTGTCTGCCCTTTCTGATGGGTACATGGAAGTCCCTTACACTATTTTCTCTGCTTTTCTGTGTTTGTAAATTTCAATAACAATAAAAGAAAGACAGAAAATGATGGGGGGGAATATTTGTTTTTCAGAATAGAGGGGCACCGGTCCCGTTCCACTTATAAAGTAGCGGGGACCTATCTTTTTTAGAAGAGTGTCCAAAATACAAATGACAACATACATAGAGTTACAGATTCTAATATTTACCATTTCAGTCTGTTTCAGGGAGATAAAAATCATGTGAAAATAACTTGATCTGACAACTCTATTCTTACAGAGTGTAAGGGAAGGTTTAATACAGTAGAGGGTGCCCCAAAAGATGTGCACACACTTTCACAGCTGATCATTCACTTCATTTCCACTCCTTTTCAGGTTTAACTGATTTGAAATAGTGAGTGAAGCCAGACTAAGCTTTGAACAAAGAAAATTTATCCTAAAGTGCCACTTGACTTGTTTTATGGGGACACAGAAAAGATAAAATTTACTGTATAAAACCGGCAACAGCCCATGAACTGAGGACACAGATACCAAATACAGTGATTCCTGATGTTGGCGATTCCACTGCTCCGTTATCAGCAGGGCCTGGACCAGAACGGTCATCAGTTTGAAAACAGGCGTCGACAGAAAAAATAATTCATTTCTGTAGATTCTCCTAAATTTTGAAAATGAGCTGCATGTTCATAAACACCGACTTCATAACCTTTCAAAGTGTGTGTACATTTTTTTGGGACGCCCGGCATATGCTGTTTCCAATGAATAGCTTTACTCAGATTCTCACTGTTAATAAAGTGTGATGTGTCCAGAACACAGCCCTGGTTACGGGCACCCCAGGAGACACGAAAACTAATTATCCCAAATCTTCTGTCAGGACTGTTTAGCGTGATTTCTTTAAACACAGATGGGCCTTGTTCCCGTACTAATGGCCAAACACACTTTTACACACATCCTGAGCCCTAACGAGATTTTCAGAAGCCAGGGGATACTTTTACCCAACATGTAACTGGTCTTTCCTGACCACCCAGAAAGTGTTATTTTTGTTTGTTTCTTTTGTATCTTCAACTCGGTTGAACTGTCCTTCTGTGGGTGACAGTCTCTCAGTGTCACTGTGCAGAATAATTACCGCTCGGGTGCCTCTGGCGGCATCAGCCCCCCTCACAAGGCGGCGAAGCGCAGGAGAAAAATCACCTAATCTTTCTCCCCCTCTCAGACGTTGGCTCTGCCTTCGTCGGTCTCTGACGTTACAGGAAATGTTGCTAAGAGACCATACGAAGGAAGCGAGTGTATAAATAGCACTTGGAACAGGTGACAAAACTCCCCGATACTTTCTCTCACTAGTTAACCTGTGAAGGCTGGAAATAAGCACTTTCAGCGTTCGGCCCTTTCCTGACCCTTCAGGCCTCGGGCGGCCCTGCCTGCTAACCCTCGAGCCTTCCAGTCCCTCCCCCTTCTNCTCGGGCGGCCCTGCCTGCTAACCCACGAGCCTTCCATTTAGACACTTCGCGCTGGGACCGCAGTCCTTCCAAACGTACAAGCGTCGCTAGCATGTTCGTGCCTGTTTGAAAGGGACCCGTTCTCTCCGGTTTTGTTTGTGTAGAAGCATCTTTATTGGGTCTCCGTTCGGGAGGATAGTTTGGCTGGGGGTAGAATCCCGCTGCCTGCTGGGCCCCTCACTGCTGCTGCTCTTCCAACTTCCAGGCTTGCTCCCGTCTTCTCAGGATGACGCCTCTTTATTATCAGGATGAATTCCCCCTTCGGCTTCCTACTGTGCGCCCTGCAAGCCCCCCTTCGCTTCTCCTCGGCGGGGCTTATACAGAGGGCGCCTGCTGTCATTTTCCTGATGACTCACCTTCTTTCTCAGGTCTGCAGACCTGGAGGCACTGCCGTCTCCTGGCAGGTCCGTGCCTCTCTGACTTCCCGGCTGTATTTTCCCTGCGTGTTGCCGGCTGGGTGCTTTCTAGTCCCGCATCCCTTCCCCGGCGATCCTCTTGTCCCGTTTCTAACCTTGCATGAAGTCACTATTTTGTTCTTAACTTCACCTTTTGCGTTTTTCAGCTCTGCAGCTTCCAATTTGTATTTAATAGATGGGTTTTCTCTTCTTAAATTCTTCATCCTGTCCTATATATTTCTTTACCACATTAATCACATGTGTTTTAAAATCCTTGTCTGGTAGCTTCCGTATTTCCATCAGCTGTTGCCACAGTCTGATTTCTCTCTGGCTCGGTCATTCGTTCCTGGGTCCAGCTACTCCAGGGGGGTGACATGACAGTTCATTGAACACCAGGCCCCGTGGGTCAGAATGTAAATGTTTTTATTTTGTTCTATTTTCCCCAAGTAGATTTCCTTTTTTCAAGGGGGCAGCTGAAAAAGAGCTGAGTCCATTCGGGAATTCACGCGAGTCGAGTCTGGTGTGCAGTCATGTTAAGTCCTGGCGGATTTTGTTGTTTTTATTACCGGGACACAGTCCTTCGGGTGTCTCAGTTCAAGGCTGAGTAGTTCAGCAGGCCTCATTCTGCTTGGCTCGTTCTGAGCCACAGTTTTTGTCTTCCTTGCACTGCGGGAACAACCAACATTTCCGCCCGATATTCTGCTTTCTGTTTGGTTGCTTGTATTTCTGATTCATACCCTTAGAAACCAGCCAACTTCTGGAGGAGAAAATCGCTGGGAAGTCAGGCTCCCCCTCCTGTGCCTGTCTCTCCTCCACAGGATGGTCCCCGTGTTGCCAGCACTTTGGTCATGCTCACAGTCCCTTCATTCTTTATTTTTATTCATTTTAAAGACACTTTAGCAGTATTTGTGGCTGGTAACTGGTGTGATGTTCTTGTGACAAAGCTACTTCCACTGCTCAGGACAGAACTTTCTCCCGTGTTATTAATGTTTAATGATAGATGTTTGTAGGGCTGGAAAAATCTAGGCCACGTGTCAGCGGGAGGTTTCAGGTAACAGCTTGAACAGGATAATTGATGCCAGCTGGGGGAAGACGTGAGGCTTGCTCGGGTCTGAAGTAGAGACCCGTGTCCGCAGCCTCGCTCGGCTCCCGGGGTGCTGGCGGCTGGTCCTTAGCTATCCAGCAGGGAACCAGGGGCGGGAGTGGGGGACAGTTATCTGGAGGATCTGATAAGCCTGAGAAAAAAAGACCTGAATACGGCGTCCTTGAGAATTTCCCAAGGAAGTATCCTGGCCCATCACCCCAGCGTGAAGTGCAATAGGCCAGTCGGCTCCCACACGTGGTCAGAGTTTCTGTAAGATTCCAGCAGCCACTGTCCATGTGAGCAAACAGCGAAGGCTCACAGAGTGCCTTTGTGCATCTCTTCATAAAGCAGGGATTAAAACAAAAAGGAAGAGCGCAGTTTGGGACGACAGAGCCTGCAAGGGAAGGAAAGCAAAAAAGACAACCTACCAGCAATCATGTCAGATGGGGAAGAAGGGAAAGAAATTATATGAGGAGCAGTGGGGAAAGAAAACACCTAAACAACTTAAAATAGTAAAATAAAAGTGAAATAGAACGTCTGGAGGATACAGTTAAAATCACGGAGAAGTTAAGCAGAAAAGCTATGAAATGTACACAGAAAAGGGAAACAAACAGGTATCCATCCATCCATCCATCCATCTACATACAACCTATATAAATGTATATATGTATCTAAATATATGAAATACAATAAATTACACACACAGATAGATACCCTTATCGACAGACAGACAGACAGACAGACGTAACCTAGAGTAGGAAATCTCACTTTTAAATAGTATATATCTCAGAAAAAGAAGTGGAATAAATGACTCAGTTACTCAGGAAGACAGTTCAGGGCTCAGAAGGAGGCCTCCCCAGGTGACCGAGGGCCCCAGACACCCAAGGTGCTGGTTGTGAACAGACTTGCCCCAGGGCCCCCGAGTCTGAGGCTGGAGCCCCAGGAGAAACAGACTCTGCAGAGGGAGGGAGCCAAGGTGCATGGGCAATGGTCAGGAGTCCACAGGCCTCGGCTTCCAGAGCCCGTGACTGCCCCAGGGGCCTGAGGACTAAAGATTCCAGCTGGGCTTCTGCCTCCAACTAAACCGCCAACCACAGCTAAGCTCAGAATAAAGACGTTTTCAAACA